AGTAACCTTGAACTCCGCACCTCCATGGCACTGCCTCCTGTGAGCTCTCAGGGGGGGGGAAGCGTCTCAAGTTTTGGTTTTCTAAGTCATCTAAGTGTTCCCTGATCCTGGGCTGAGCGGTCGTCTCTGTAAAAGGTGATGCCCCATGCTCTAGAAGGACAAGGGGCTAGGGTTTTTTGAGGGCAAGAACTGAAAAAAGCACAGGAAACCAGAAACCTTCCAAGTCTTAAGTCCTGTTACTACATGGCATTAGGCAGCGTTCAGACTTCGCGACGGTAGCGCTTCGGTAGCGCGTTCGGCGCGATCGATGCAGTCGAAAGCATGCGCATCAATTGCGTCATAATGCGCAATCGTAACCGCGTAATCGAAGCGCTGCAGTCGCAAAGTCCGAACGCTCCCTTAGGAACGAGACGTTGAAATGGGTAAAAGAATAAAATCTCTCCACCCAATGAGCGTCTCGCCTTTGATACGTGGCACATTAGCCGCAAGAAGTGTAGAGAAATGTGAAAGAGATCGACTCTTGACTCTCTTTATGGGTTGTTAGCACTACCTGAGTCACCCACTACCCATACCCTCACCCTTACATTCCGTGTAGGAGATATCATTTCGTTCACCGTTGCTATAAGCAGGCGCTATGCTTGATCACTCGTAGTTACAGCGAATAGTACAGGTTTGTAGAAAGGTGATAAGTAGAGGGTGTTGAGGGTCTTAACATCAATAAGAAAAAGATTGGTTTGGCTTCAGCAGAGAAAGTTTTCACGGTGCAAAAATACTGTGTGCAGTCACTTATGTGATGCACACGGTAGTGAGCGCCAGTCAGATGGTATCAAGGTAACAATATCAACTTTGACATTGTGCAAAGGAGACGTTGGCGAAGGTGCGTGCGGCTGCGAGGCAACTTTGATCTGTGGGTCGATGCTGATTAGTAGTACTCGCTATCAGTTGCAACCGCGCATGCCTTCGCGGACGTGGTGCTCGATATCATGCGCAGTGTTGGTGAAGGAAGTCGATTTCAGCAAAGCGCGCCGATTCCGCTGCCAGCACCAAGCCAAAGCTATAGTTACAGCACGGAGACTCGGGTAAGTGGGCCGTATCAGCGGTCTGCTCCAACGCCGCCGGCACATACTGAGCTCGGCAGGCAAAGATATCAGCAATTGAAGGTTTTCACATCCTAATCACATAGCCATCGGGGCGCTCCCTTGTGTCATTGCTTAGCTTCTAACCTCTAGATACGGCCAGTTCATGCATTGTGTGTTCAGCACTATAGATGTTCAAAGCCATGATGACAGCCAGTCACAACCACTTTAACATGCAGCTTTTGTTCCACTTTAGAGCACAATAAATATTTATTCACATAGCTTCCTTCCGTTCTCCATTCACGAAACTAGCATGTTGGACAGCATTTTATTTCAAAATCAATTGACTACATGAAACAAAAACAGTCGTTCAGACTTCTACCCAGGCGATACCCGCGCCGGCACCTGCGCCGACGTCCAACTATCAGCAACACAGTAACTACAGCCACCACTCGTCGCACACAAGCGAAACATCGAAGGCAATACCCATCCAGCCAGCGAAATCCAATTTCGAGGTATGCTCTACACTAAACACCTGATTTTTTTTATTTTTCACACCATCTGATAATTTAGCACTTGGCACAGTTGTTTTAGTTTAAGATTTACTAAGAGACTTCCAAGCACCTTAATAGATTGTATCAAGGATTTTCTGCGGTCTTTCTAGTTCCACATAATTTATTCCAAATGTGCGATTTTACAACACGAAGATCAATAAACAGAATCTGCTCATTCGATCGCTATGTCCTCGCGCTGCGTCTAAGGCAAGCAACTGGTTCCGCGGGACTGGGCTCCTGAACCTTGTAAGTGAGAAATTGATAATCACGCTTAAGCGCTTGATCTTGCTTAAATCTGCCGTGAAACAGCTGTAAACAAATTTCATATCAAAGTATGAAGGAGAATGCGAGCAAGGAAATGATTTCAAAGCTGCAACATTGTAGCGCAAAGTTAATAGCCAACACAAAGGCCGCAGGGAATCATGGAGCAATTTTTTAGAAAATGCACAGTTAACTGCACTGTATACAGCACAGATTTTTTTCCTACTAAAATACATTAAGTTTAATTCACGAACATCACCGTCTTCCTTCAAAATCATGCATTCCATTTATCTAAATCTCATGATGAACCCGACCGCAAAAAATGTTCCGATTCACACTTTGGAGCCGTGAATCTTGCACCCCTCAGGAGGGCGTGAGGAAAGGGACGTAGATTAGAGCGCAGCGAAGGATCCTTCGACAATCATTGTTGGCGATGTATCAGTTGGTGGAAAACACCTCGCTCGCTGCGATCCAATCCACGTCTACTCACACGCTCCTTCATTTGCAGGGATACTAGCTGCACGTAGTAAATTGTTGATGTGAATTGGCAATAATATCAACACAAATGGTTCAGGAACATAGGAGATCATATCATTCGGAAGAAAAACGCACTTCAACGTCAACACCTACGCAGCGTGTAATGTTTGAGGTGACCGGTAATTTGTCTGGTTAGACAGTTGAAAATTCTGGAGGACCCCGAGTAAGGTGAACATCGCAAGGAAACATAATGTGGAGTGCGGAGGAATCACAGGCTCTTTTGATGAGGAACAAGTTTATGGAAATAATAAAAGCTATTTAACGTCAATCGAAGTGGACCCTATCGGCAACATCTTAGCTACTTTGTTTGGAGTAAAGTGGAATCGAATGTGAAATAATCGTAACTGTAAACTATTCGCGCATCTGTTAGGTGCCACAAGAAATATTCCTGACAAAGTGATGCTCTAGTGCTTTGAAAAGATAGAATTTGGACGGCATAAGGCTAGACGACGGCAGAATTCAAGCACCTTAGAATATAAGTATTTGACTAAGTATATCCGACTTTATTCAGGTGCGTGGTGTGAGGTAAGGAATTAATTTGAAGAAGAATGACATTTCAGCAGAGCAAATGAGAACCCTGCTGAAGACGTCGAATTACTCGTACTTGCACACACACAACGTTGATTATCTCATCGACTGGGGGCAACATTCAGTGGATATCCTCAACATCATTCATGTCCGAAAGATTACATTGATGCTTTGGACGTAATTCGGTCGGTTTTCTCATGGTTCGTGCTTGTTCGGTTTCCTCTCTGCCCTGTGAATGCAGCGGTTGAAATGCTGTTGAGTTCACTAGCACTCGTTGGATATTGGACGATCGGCTGGGACATGAGCAGTCTTGCGGTGGGCGCAAGACGACTGCCAAATGAGCATTATTGCTGGATAAAACAAGCTTGAGCACTTAGAGCAGTAAGTTTCGACTGCGGCAGAAAACATGAGCTTTTTATATTTAGTTCCTCTCATTGTGATCTCTAACTAGAGAACCATGTAAAATGGATTGAATCCGTCGCATTCCTCTGCATTTGTTGCATTATGTAAGCCTTGTAATGTTTATCCTTTCTTAGCTCAGAACTGTACTCCTGACGCAGTGTCTTTCTTGTGAGAGAAGCGCCATGTTGGGAATGCAGCGTCGTTGTGGTGAATCAGTAAAGGAGTGAGAGCTTTGTCGCATCGCGACTTAGAGCCTTACCAATCTTCTCTTGCAACAGATCCATCTTTGAAGCTGTGTCTCCATGTATCTTTCGAAGGCATTTGCTCTGCTCTGGCAAGTAGCACTCGCACATTCATTGAAAATTATTCACCTTGCAAAAATCACGAAGTCGGCAAAATCATCTCATTCCAAGGGTAGCTGTGCCGGACCTGGTTGCAGAATACAATAGGAATGACGCAAGTGCTTGATGAAAAACATCTGCCCTCCGTTTTATCTGTGACAATGTAAGCTCGATCTCAATATGAGAAATGTCAATTAGGGCACGTCAAACCTCGTTGTGGTGCTAAAGCTCTCACGCCTCGTTCAATATGCACTGTTTCGCAAAGTAATAAATAACGTACGCTGCTTTGATGCCACAGCATCATGCGTCAGAGTGGAAAGGCATGCTGCAATAGATAGTAGGCTTTAGGTTTTACTTCATCAAGTGGTCTTGTGAAGAAAGCGAAAAATTTCAGTGGTGCTTACAATTCCTGCGACTTTATCCGCGATTCCTTAAATCATACTGATTCTATTTCTGACTGTAAAAGTTCAGGATAGACACCGTGATCTGTTTCCACTGAGCAGCCACTCTGCTTCAATGCCTTCTCTGCAAACAACGGAAGAGGTCACTACTATTGTTTCACAGTGCACGAATGCGATTAGGATTTGATTCGCCTCAGTGACATAGCGAAGCTCCGTCAGAACTGGCTTAAACTCTTTCAACACTTCGCTATGTGATAGATGGGAACTTGTTTATTCAGTACAGTCTCATGACGTACTATTTAGGCCGACAGATTCCATAAAATGTTCACGTCAGAACAAGCACGTACGATTCCAATACATCAGACAAATCACTTGTCGGAGGTCATTTTTTCCTTCCATGGAAAGAATAGTTAACTCCTTCAAGCGTTGCGATAACCAGCGGCAACTCTTGTTATCCCTTGTCTGTATGCTTTTTTCTGTTCAAGCACTCCTTTTCTACTTCTTCTTAACTTTCCAATCATCTAACAGCTTCTGCTCTCGTATGCTTGAACCTTGTTGCTTCGTTGAGGGCCAAGAAAAACTAATGAGCAGCACTCGTGCTGTGACGTGAACACGTACAGTAGTGGTCAGAAGTATTCGCCAAAACGATTTTTGTGCTCAACCTTTTTTCTCATCCAACCAGTTCATATCAGAGTGGACCCTCGAATCGCAGTTCAACATGTAGAGCCAAAAGATAAATGTGCGGATTGCTCTACGCTACCTTCAGTGAACATCGCACGGTCAAGAGCCTAGATGTTCGCTAACAGAGACGAATTCTCACTCCTCCAATACTAGGTTTAGCGTTTTTCCAATCTGAACACTCCTTCGTTGATGGGGTGGTGCGACCCCAGTCTATTCCGATAGGAAGAATCGATTATTTTTAATGTATGCTTGCATCTCGAACCTAGCAGCACTCATGTTCAGTGGCTTCTCCAACACCCGGGTTCTGGATTGGCATGTAAATAAACATTGAACCTGGCGGGGCACAAGCGGGTGTGCCAGTTGCAGTCTATCAGCTCTGGAAGCCCCGGCTATCCTAACGTAGCGAAAGAGACCGAGAATCGATGATACTGTGCCCTCGAAAACCTTGAGAGGACACGAGAAAGATTCACCCTCAAATTCGTAGCAGCTTTTTTTGGTAACCGAATTTCCAGTCTTCTTCTATTTACCGAAGGGCGTGTGGCGTTACTGTCTAAATTCGGCACCGATATCTGAAAGTAACTTTGCCCGAAAACTCTCAATGCTCTCAAAAATTGGAAGCAATAGTAGTCTTGTTTTTTAGCAATTGAAGGAGGGAAAAAAAAATATTAGAATAAGAACAACGGTTGTCGTAGTTCACTAGAAACTTTAGAAAGTATAATGTGTCAATGTTTACAACATTGGTTGGATAGAAAAAGAAATTGGGTACACCTATTTGGCATACACTTGTGACCGAGCCGAAATATTAGGGAGCGTGCTATAAAGTAAGCCTTCTCAATTAACAAGTATGTGGGAGGTAGGTATACATAAGTAGAAGAAGTACCGATGCGCAATCGACAGGGGGGCGGGACAAATTATGCCGCATACTTGGGCAAGATACTCTTAACATATCCTAATGATACTGAGAGGCCCAATATGAGGTTTGCAAGAATTTCGGATATCCATTGTTTCTCTATCAATCATTTATAATGCAGTTCCATACTGCTCTTGTTAATAGGAGCAACTATTGGCGCTCAGTTGAACGCTACTAACATTTTCTCAGTCTTTCACTCAATGCGTGTAGCACTGTAAACAGAAAGTTTTTTTGTCCAGAAAGAGATCGCAGTATCTGTTTAGGCAAGACACTTCGAAAAGAAACACTCCTCGAAAGAGGAAACTCGCACTACCACCATTCCAGTACGACCAGTTCAATCAGAATTTAAGGTTACCTGGACTATGATTTAGACTAGAAGACTAGCTATTTGGTTGTAGCATAGATGTAACAAATAGGAATTAGAAACATTAATCACTCACTGTACCTTAGCATTTTGCTGTCGTCCTCGTCATATGAAGCTGAGACGTTGGGTTGGTACGTGAATGCGTTTTTTTCTTGCGCCTTTTTTCCTGAGAAAAATTTCCACAAAAATGAACTTTTCTGGGTCGCTCACAGAAAGGTATATCGGAAATGATCTTCATATTGGAAACTTTATGCTCTTCTCTTTGAAGAGAAAACGGGGGAGTCATTTCACGATCTCAACGAATTTCTCGGCGAGCTAACAATCAGCCAAGTTAAAATGGTTCACGAGCATCAGAATGGGTGGCACAAACTTGCAGATGAAGAAGTTTGAGAGTTTAATGAACTGGCCGCTCTAACAGCCACGGAAGAAGACGAAAAGCTTGTCAACACGAATGCTGCCCGATGACTCAAGGTCAACCAGTCGATCGACCGATCTCGAAGAGCCCGCGAAGTTGTGGAACTTGAATGTGTCCCACAAGGTTTCCGACGACAACAAAGCATAAAGTGAACGCAATCTTAACAGTCGTCTTCCCGTCCTAATGCTGAACGTCGTGTCATCGAATCGATCGCCAATAAGGGATGGGGGTATGTTCCCACATCCGCCATATTCACCGACCGAAGCCCCTGCGGAGTACTAGGTCAATCGGTCGTTGAAGAACTGGCAAACGAACAGAATTCATAACGGATTGGATGGCTTAGTGGCCAATGTTAAAGGAGATAGGAATAGGAGATATACAGTAGTAGAATTGTAACGCTATCGCGTCTCTAATTGAAGCAGGCTGCAGGATTGTGATCGCTTTTCACATGATCTTCTGGCATACCATGCGGAAAGCGGGTCCATACTTACGAAAAGGGCATGATTCTCGTGCAATGAATGCACTTTAGAACCTCACATCAACCCCTTGTCTAGTTCTAGGTTTAGAAAAATAGTTTCCAACATATAACAAAATATTTATTCCTTGAGTAGGTTCATCCATACTAAAATAGTCATACTATTAGATTTTCGACTGCCGTTGTAGACTGAGCCACGTCTGTAACACGTCGTTGATGAGTCTGTTGTCACAGACTTAGGGGCCGCGTGCTATACTCCCCTCATCAGAGAAGATCCCCGAGGGGTTGGCCACTGCTGCTGATGATATCTACTAAATGAATCCACTGTGGGCATTCGCGCAATTGGAACTGTCAATGTTGGGACGCAGAGGGACTGGGTCTACATCATGCGTCCGAAATCATGCATCGCGCGCGAACCAGTCATGCTTTTCCTACCTAGTTAACTTGCCACAACGCAGCAAAACCACTTCAAATTGGACTTCAAATCGATTAGGTACTGCGACGTGGTGCGGCCTCTGAAGAAATTTTTCCAGATGTTGTTCCATGTTGATGTTTCCTGGTTTTTAATCGGATCGGGAAAGTGCAGAAGATGGGAAGACTGATCGACATCGCAGGAATCAAAGCGCTTCTTAAAATGATCTACTTTCCTGCGCTATGGGCAGCTTGAGCGATCGCGTTGTTGCGCAGCGATAACAAACAAGTATAGCAGACGACCTTAGGTCGCTCAACTATCATTTGCTCTGGGCGCGTGGCTTCGTCTGGCAAGGCTCGCCGTAGTTTTGGAGTAGTTTAGTGTAACTTTAAGTTAGCCAGGAGAGAACAATACGGGATGAGTGATTAACCAACTAATAGAATATTTTATTTCAGGAGAGTAGCTATCACAGAACTGAGTCGTCGAAGCAGGAAACCAGCCAGGGTGCACCGATGCAGGTTTGTTGCGATTTTTTGAAAATTGTTTCTCTTCACCTCCCTAAGTAGACAACATGTCTATAGCT